TGCTGCTCACCCTAAAAGGCTCAACTCAAACTCCACTTTTTCATGAAGATTATCTTAATTGCCCTCATCCAGAGCTCTTTCTCCCTCTGTTCTGGCTCTTACAGCACTTAAACCTTCCTCTACTATGCTGCATGGTCAATTGTCAATCTCTCATCTCCTCTGTGAGCCTGTGAGCTAGCAGAATGTCATTTTCTTTGCTTTTCTATCTGCTGCACTATCTAACCCAATGACCTGAAGACAGGAGATATTCAATAAATATCCGACCTCTGTAATTCTATTTCTGAAATTCCATTTCCTACTTATTTACGGATTCTTTCCTTGTTAAAGAGGAAAAAAAAAAAGATAAAGGAGTACCCATTAGAAGAGTAGTATTTCTTAGATTCCAAATATTCAAGGCTGATGTCTAAGTGAATGAGGCACAGAACAACATCTCTCCCCAAACTGCTGAACAAAATGTCAAACTGCCCTTGCTCTTATGGTCATCAATTAAAAGAAGCACATGGTCAGGGGTTATAAACATAAAAACTGGAAGTTTATAAAAATAATAAAAATGTCCAACCTACCCAAAATGCTGATCAGAGCAGATTTAGTCGATGAACTAACGCACAGAGAGGAGTAGGCACTCTTAACAGGAGGTAATTAGGTCACGACACTGGAGATTTCCCTGTGAAAACACAAGGCCTGCAGGACCACCCTTGTTCTCGGGATGATGGGGAGAGGAGGGAATACAGCCATCCACAGCAGCTAGAATTGTGCTGGGCATTTGCTAAGGGTAATACGTACCTTTCAGCTCAGATCCCAGAGAGAAAAAGGTTCCTGAGTTACTTAAAAAAATGAAAAACTAAGTGCATGTTGCTGGGGGAGGGGTTTTACTAAGCTCAGTCCTCAGGACTCTGCCAGGCTCTGTTGGCATCGGGCTGAGGGAGAGGGTCTTGTGAGTACTAAGGTGGACGTGTGTGCAGGCTGCTGGAGAGGAGGGGTGCACGCCATCAACTCTGAGATCTGAGGGGGAAGGAGGAATTTTCAGAGGAGTCACTGGGAACAAAACTAGACCAGGGGCATCCCTGGCTTCTCCTTTTCCCACCATTCCCCGTCCTTGAAAGACCGTCTCTCTAGCTTTGAGGGGGAACTGGTTAGATGTTTCTTCTCGTTTTTGGGCTGACCATTCTAACTCAAGTCTCAAAGGCCCCCTTTATTTCTTCCCACAGACCCAAAGGATTTGCAGTCTAGGAAACCAAAGAATAGTTTCATCAATAAATCAATTTATTTAAAAGAATATGTTACAATTAATTACACTAAGTGACATTACCAAACAATTTAGAGTGGTTAGCTCTAGAACAAGGAATGAAAAGAAACACTGTTAGCCATTATGTGTCTGTGTATTTTCTCTTCACATTTCTTAAATCACAAATAAAAAATACAAGATACTGCAGTGAAAATACAATTAGAGTTTCTCTCAAATAAATTATAAGTGTGCATGGCCTGGGGAGAACTGAAGCCCAGCTCACTGGCTTAAAAGGAGAGCATGACAGAAAACTGGTGTCCAAGTTTTGCAGTTGGTCAAGTGCCCACACCCCATACCACTCCCCTAGATTCTGTTCCTCCCCAGAGCCCTAAGTTTCTCCATACACCTTAGATTATTGCTGAGAGGGAGCTGATCCTATCCTGGTAAGAGTGAGGCCTGGCATGGCATGCTCAGATTTAAGGAGGGGGAAGACAGAAGGCGAGACTGGAAGATGGTGAGTTAAAGCAGCACACCCACCCCCTTGATTCTCACACTCTCTCTCTCTGAGTATTCCACCACATCACCCTGCCTCCAAAAGGAAGCTGATGTGACACAATGTACCTGGTGAAGGAACCCAGCAGTGTCTTGAGGTCCAATGGACCAAATGGTCTTACTGCTGTGTCAGTCCAGCCAGACAGTATGATGGTGAGAAGGGCACCGTAGTCCCTCCATGTCTGGAGACTTCAAGCCAACTAGGATGCAGTCCCCTTTAAGATAAATGGCTCCTAGGAGCCAAGCCCATAAGTTGGCAACTTCTTAGATGAGAGAGAGAAGTATCACCTCCGGTCAGTGCCCTATTTTTCTGTTCCAAGCACTAGGTTTGGAACTATTAAGAGAGGGTAACCCAAGGCTACTGGCCTCGGATGGGTAACTGAAGGATGAAACTAGAAGGCCAGGCATGGGTATGGTGGAACGTTTATCTAATTCCTTCTTGAGAGCTCTGTCCAGGCCTAGGAGCTGCCCTGAGCACGTGCGTATCTGTACCTGTGCTGAGTTTAGGCCTAGGGCAAGGGGAGGGCAGAAAAATGGAGAAGAGAATAAACATACAGAGAGCACAGCCTGAAGCACAGCCCAAGGGAAGTTTCTGGGGGCCAGTTTTCTCCCGATCTCTACAAAGCTGGGAGCTTTTGCTCCAGAGGATAGAAACTGAGTGTGCAGGGGAGGATGGAGAGAGCCAGGAAGACCCTGCTGGCTCTGCTGGGGGCAGGGGGAAAGGGAGAGTCTCCCCTTTTCCCAGAGGCAAACTGCAAAAGAAGACCGGGTAGAAGCCTCCCTGGGCAGAACCCAAGACTAAGAAAAGTAGTAGGGATTATAGAAAGGAAGGGCAGAGTAAGGGGGCAGGGGAAGGAGAGTCACACCTAACACTGCTTCATGCAAAGAAGGGCTTGATCCTGTGGACTTCAGAGCCACAGTGACCTTTGCCTCCATTACAGGAGGCCTGAGGTGGGTGGAGGGGGAGAAGGCGCTGTTCCCTAGGGTCTCCCCCTACCCACCTCCTTGCTGTAGCTGAGTGCTATGTTAGTGGTACAGCCTCAAGTAGGGGCTGTTCCCGAGTAGAGTCTGCCAACAAGCCAACTACTTATGGGCCTCCTCACCCAATCTCCAAAGCACCAAGTGAATACTATGCCAGAAAAGGAACACAGTAGCATCTACCCACTCTAAGGGGCCTCCAAATCCTAAGAGTATCCCCAGTATTTCATATCCGGAGGCCAGCATCTGGGCTGTTGGATGGCCTGCTCATTCCTCTCCCACTAGGAGGGGGCAGGGGAGGAACTGCTGCTATGTTTGCAGTTTGAACAAAGCTGGTGCCACAGCCTCTTCAGCATCTTGGAGTGAGCAATCAACACACCTTTTTTCTAGGGTCCTCTGGCTCACTATTAAATTTGTTTAGGCCAAAAAAGAGTTAATCTTGTGTCAAAGCCTTCAAATCAGGGATCACTCTCTGCAACTTTAAACATTTCAGCATTCACATGTTTTTCACTCTGAATCCACCTGGGTTTGGAGAAGGGGAGGACAGAATGTCTATGTGACCCCACACCTCTCCTGCTAGGGCAAGCGGCAACCAAGGTAACAGAGCGAGAGAGGAAGAAAAGTGGCTTCATGATGATCTGCAAAAACAAGTTACAAAATAGAAACTTCAATCCACTCCAACACTGCTCAGTGGAGTTGACTGCAACCAACCATGGCTGCCTCCCTGTTAGACAAAGGAAGAGATGACCCCTGTGGAGGTTTTAGTTTGGAAGGTGAAGAAAGGGAAAAGAGAAGGCGGCTTACAGATGTGTTCCAATCGTATGTGAGCCTGACTCAGTGCTCCTAATGCACTATCTATGCAGCCTGGGGGCTGAGTGTGTTGTCCTACTCCAGTCAGCCCTGGCCCGTGACCCTGGGATGTAGCGTGGGTCAGCAAGATCAAGAAGGAGCTCTCTGGGGGAGCAAAAAGGTCTTCCTTCAGTCTCCTCTTAATGAAAAGTTGACATCCAACCCAAACCAACCATATTCCTACTGCACCTTCCTGGGTCCTCAGCTAGCTTGGGTGGGGCTGCAGTTTTGGTTGGCACAGATCATTGACCCATTCCAAGTTCCCCCAAGGTCTTGAAGAAATTGTCAGGTCCCTCCCCTGACACCACTGTTTAAGGGAGTCACAGAGAACATAACAGCTATGGATGGTCATTGGTCAGGAATGCAGTAGGGAAAAGATAATGTATACAGAACATTGCTTCCTTCCATAAGTCCAACCTTTGTGCCCAAAGATATCAGCTTTAACTGTGGTCCCTCATACTATCCCTACTTCAGAAAAAGCAGGGAAATAAGAAATTACTACTGTAAGGAGTTTTAGGTTCCTGTGGCATGAACACCCTGAGCCCACCCTCCCCTCCATTCTGGGCCAGTTGAGGGACAGCATACAGAGGGCCCTAGGGAAGCAGAAAGGAGATACAGCATGTGACTAGAAAGCCAAAAGTTAGAGAGAGATGGACCAGGAAAATTGTCCTGGAATCAAGAGGCCACACCAAGTCTTCAGACTCTCCTGCAGATCTGTAGCCTTGCTGCCATATATAAACACACCTTTTTCTCCTCCCCAGCACCCTTTTGGAAGATAAAGAAACAATTCTTGCTCCTCAGACTCTATGGCAACCCATGAGCCAGAATCTGCACTCAATACAAAAAAGGGGGAAAAAAATCCAAGCAGGTTGTAAACTTTTCGAGTCCTTCATGAGGAGAGGTATTTTCCCTGTAAAATTTTTTCTTTTTTCTTTTCAAAGTTTGTTTCAAAATAAAGAGCAAGAGAGGTCATGAATCCTAGTGAAAGGTGTGTAAAAACACAAGCTAAAAAAGGTACTGCCATCAATATGAAACTTAAAAAGAAATATATATATATGTATATACGTGCAGCTAATTTGTATATATATATAATTTTTTACATACATACATATATATGCCTGAACAGTGCAAATGGATGGAGTTCATAGTTCCAGTTTTAAAAATATAGTACAAGGAGAGTCTGATGGTATGAGGCCCAGGTGAAAGGACAAAGATACCTTTGGCGAGTTGGTTGGGCTTATTTCTTTTCCCGTCTTAGCACAGTTGACTCCTGGTGCTGACCAATCTGTTGTTCTCTACCAGCTCAATTCCAGAGACATGAAATTCAGAGGGGGTTATTAATATTTAGTTTAGAGCTTTTGAATATAATGACTTTTTTCCTTTTTCTCTTCTTTTGTGTTAATGGTTACTCTGTCTGACATGGGAGACAAAAGGGATAAAGAGGACGGGGGTGAAGAGGAGGGAAAGGATGAGGAAAGGCTAGGTGGCCACATCCCTTTGCTGTGACCTCGCCATCTGGAAAATGTTCTGAAAGGAAAAAGAGAAAAGAGTTATTGGAGAGCCTTAGGTGTCCACACTTCCTCCCATCTGGAGGCAGCCCTGCAAACAGAAATTGAGAACAATCACTGGATGACTAAGGCTGATTGGCCCCTTCCCCTGATACAACTTCCCATCTAGAATCATAGCCTTTTAGAGCCAGAAGACACCTTGAATGTTGTTCTACAGATGAGAAAACTGAGATCTGATTTGGGAGGCTGATTTGCCCAAAACCACACAGAAAAAAGGATGGAACTCCGATCTGATTCCCAGAGTCCAATGTTCTTGTTACTGTACCAAGAATATACATTCTCATGTTTCTGACTTTACCTTCTGAACCTCTGAAACATTTTCTTTGAGAATGAGTAGTTAATTACTCAGAATCTTCCAAATTCCACTCCAGCACTGGCACATACAGATAGTAGCTAAGGCAGCAAAAACCTCCTAACACATAACATTCTTGATTAACCCAGATAGACTCTATCATGACTCACTTTAGTCAGCATGGCTAAAACTGAGGACAGCTGCCCTTCTGGAAGGTGATTTGGTAAAAAATAAGTAAATGAAAACAGGCCGGGGAAGGTCCATGAAATCCTGAGGAACAAAACAGCCTATAACCAAGGCTCACCCTCTAGAATCATAGGAAGAAGCCGGGCTTTTAACATACAGTGTTCACCATCCAGAGACCAACCTCTGGAAAAATGTCCAGGTCACAATGGAAAACCAGTCCCTAACTAACGTTCTTAGACAGGCAGAAATGGAGGTGAGGGTCCCAGGTATTTTGCCACAGGTCTATAATTTTTAAAAAAACACCACCAAGAAAGATGAAAAAGTCAATTCAAGAATTGTTTATGATTACCTCTTTTCTCCACTTGAGCTCGCAGAACACCCTCTCGAAGCACTCATGCATGTAATTAAACTGAAAAAGAAGCAGCAACACTCACTGACTTCTCCAGATCAGGCACCAGAGGGCCAGGCCTAGTAACTCTCACCCTCAGTCACCTGATCTTCCAAACTTGTTCAGCCTACAGGAAAATCCTAACTGGCAATGCAAGGCCAGGCTCATCCACTATTCTTTGGCTCCTTCTAGTGGTAATTCTGAGTCAAGCGGGATGTGACATTGCCAATATTGGCTGGGCACAGAGGAAAGACAAGTTGGAGCGAGGGCGCTAAGATTCAAACAGTTCAGATCTCCAAACAACCGCTATCTCTATGTCTCTCCAGTTACGTATTTAACTTATGGAGAACTTTAAGCCCAACCGACTTTCCCCCAAGCGTGCTTCCCCATCTACCACTCACATATGGTGTGAAGATTTTAACCCATCGGGGCTTCTTCTCTCCTCGTGCATATTCAAAACAGAAGGCCATTCCTTCTTCATCTGTATCCCATCGCTGCATCTCATCCCATTCGAATGCTATCACCTGGTTCTGAACAACAGAGGACAAGAGTGTCAGGTCTATAGTGTCTGAGTGTGGGAGTACTGGGGAGCTTACATAAGGTGGTTCTGAGCCAGGCAGCAGAAGAGACATGAATGGAGATGTGGCATCATTTCAGGGAAAGGACCGTGAGGAAAGATAAAAGTCAGTGGAAGTAGCCAAGGAAGTTGTGGATCAGGATGGATTCAGTGCCTATTTATGCCCCAGTCAAAACAATTCTCATTTCATTTCCCCTCAAGAAGGCGCTAAAACACAGCAAGTGAGTGAGTCCCCCCAGGGCTCCAGGCCCTCTGCTAGCCTCCTCAGTGCCATGCTGGACTCACCTCCAGCTCCCCCTCTTCAGTGCAGGCATGCAGTTTAAAGTGCGTGATGCTGATGGCTGTGATGACGTGCCCCTTCCTCCTGGAATCACAGGCACAATGGGGGAAGATGATTTCATTGTAGCCCTCACAAGTCCTTAGCATGTTGAGGTACTAGACAAAAAGGAAGGGGAAACAGTGTTACTTAGGAACGAAACCCCTATGAAGAGCTGCTGAGATGGTACAAAAGAAAGAAAAGGAATAGTCTCATCTAACAACCTGAAACTTTGCCTCTGGCCTCATGCCAATCCCTAAGATGGGATAGGACTCAGAAAATCCTTTATCCCATTTCCAAGTTCCAATTTCCTACCTTCAATCCCTTTAAAAAAGATACACACTTGAAGCCAGAAGAAACACTGTAACCAAGCCTCCTAGGGCTAGAAGGAAACTTACCATGTCACAGTCTGGCCCTCTGCTTTCACTGCACCTAAGGGATGGCGATCTAATCCAGCCAAATAATTTAGGAAAGGGAGTTGATGTTTCTCCTCACCTTTCTCCAATCAAAAGTTAAAATGATCTCAATGATCATGATTAAGCTACCCCATATCTCACATTCATAAAAGAGAACTTAGAAGCTAGTCATGATACAGAAACTCAGGTAGTTATGAGAATTGCCTGAAGTCATAAGTGGCACAATCAGGGTTGGAACCCAGGTTTAAGTTCTAGGACAGTCCTAGTCCTCAAAGCAGCACCACTGTCCACTGGGTGTCTCCCAGCGTGTGTCTCCTTAACCAGCATCTGGACCAAACTCACAAGCACAATGTTATAAGACTAATCCAGCGAGGTCTCTTAACTAACGAATCTAACGCAAATCTTTTCATCTCTTCTCTATAATTGAGGCTGGCATCTTTTACTCAACTCACTATACTGAGAGGGAAGAGAGTTAAAGCAGAAAAGTAGGGAAGAGAGTAGCAAAGCAATAGGGAAGGAAAATAAGGGGGAATAAAAGATTCATGGACTCTGACCACGCCCGTAGTTGACATGTTGCAAAGGAAGGGGAGGACACACTGGGATCGTGTGCAAGGTGCCGGAGAGATGAGAAGGGCACCATACCCTCGCTGATCTCAGCTAGATGGGCAGGAGACCAGAATACACCGGGGAGTTGCCTTCTGCTTTACCGAGATAGAAGAAAAGAAGGGACAGAGGCACAAAAAGGACACTGGGCAGCCTATGGCTCTGGTGTCAATGAATGGCACCTAAGACCACTGCTACGCCACCAAGAGCTGTCTGAGAAGACTCAAGGGCCCAGGGGAAAAAAAACTACCACCACATTCTCTCTTTGTTTGTTTGTTTGGGTAAAATAACAGCAACTCTGAAGGTGAAAAATTATCAAAGGACAGCCACGAACACAAGGACAGGGTCAATTTAGAAGGGAGGCTCTTAGAACCACCACACTTCACATCATTTTTCTTCTCTCACTTCTCCCTCCATCTGTCAATCCTACCACACCTTCTTTTATCATTCTTCCTAGATCAGTGGTGTTCTGGTTACCTAGTGCTGCTCAGACAGGAATATACCACAAATGGGATGGTCTGAACAAACAGGAGTTTATTCTCTTAAGAGTTCGGGGGGCTAGAAGTCTGAGTTCAAAGTGCCAGGCTCTAGGGGCTGCGTGAAAGCCCCTCAACCTTGGGCTTTAGCTCTGCCTCTTGCTCCTGGTCCACTGGAGCTAGAGGAATCTCTACACTCAGGCAGCTGCTGGCTGCTGAGGCCGACAAGCCCAAGGTTGACATCAGGTACAGTCCTGATGTTACCAAACCACAAGGCAAGCCATTGCTTCAAGTCCATTGTAAGTCCCAAGGTCGGCAGAGCATGGCAGGCTGCTGAACAATGACACAGCTACTTGCAGGGTTTAAGCGAGCCATAAGCTAGAGCCCATTCCCAAAGTTGTTTCTTATATACAGGAAGCAGACAACATACCCAAAGGCAGCTACTCAGCTGCTCCCAGTAGATTCCACCATTGAGTTGATTGTCAGTCTCATCATGGGGAATACTACATCCAGCTGTCCAGCCACTCAACCAGGCCTAGCCAAGTTGACACAGAAACTGAAGTACCTACCACAAGTGGTCAACGTGGATGCTATTGGTATTATGAACAAAAAGAAATCCTTGGCCACTAAGCTTTAGTAAATATGCTGGGGGTGGATAGCACAAAAGAGGAGAGAACTCTGGGGTTAGAGCAAGCAGCAAAGATTGGGACATGAAACAGTATACAGAGGAGTAATTTAAGAGCTTAAGCCCAGAATGCCCTAGGCTTGAATCCTGGTCCCAACATTTCCTAACTGTAACCTGGGGCAAGTTACTTGAATGCAGGCAAATTTACTTCATCCCAGGAACTTTAGTTTCCTCTTCTTTTTAAAAAAATACTACTTACCTCATAGGGTTATTGTGAACATTAAATGTAGACTATTTGGCACAGTACTTAGTACATATAGGTATTTAATAAATAATAACCAGTTGCCATCTAGTTGATTTCGGCTTATGGCAGTCCCATGTGTGTCAGAGTAGAACCGTGCTCTTTAGGGTTTTCAGTGGCTGGTTTTTCAGAAGTAGATCACCAGGACTTTCTTCTGAGGTACCCCTGGGTGGACTTGAACTTCCCATCTTTCGGTTAGCAGCCAAGTGCATTGATAGTTTACACCACCCAGGGACTCCTAATAAATGATAGCTTTAAAAAATAATTTTAAAAGATCAACAATCCTGGCCAGAGGTCTCAACCACTTTCTCTCTCAACAAGACCACGTGAAACGATGTATTTGGAAATTACTTTAAAAACTCCAAGGGGTGGGAGAAAAAAAGCATGTGTGAGCTATAGATGAAATAGGAACGGCAGAAAAGTTGATGGCTACTAAAATTGGGTAATGCGTACATGGGGGCTAATTACACTATTCTTTCAACTTTTTTACGTATTTGAAAATTTTCAACATAAAATGCTAAAAGAAAGAGTGCCCCACAATCAGACCTCTGGCATTCATCCAAGTCAATCTCGGAACACACTCATTAGAAACTTCCTTCATGTTCACTAAGAGGCAAATTCTCCTCAGAGCTGCCTAAGACCTCTGCAAATGTATGAAATCTTGGAGCTTTGAGAACAATTCTGCTTACATCCTTCAATGAAAAAGGCTTACATAAAGTACATTTATTGAGCGTTCTCTTCTTTGAGAGGTGCCACTATGGTTTTGAAAAATATTTCTGCCATATTCCTAATCAGAAGTTTCAGTCTTTTTTTTTTTTAGAGAGAGAAAGAGGCCAACAAAAGCAGGGACCAGGAAAAGAGATCAGAAGAGATAAAGAGTTCTACATATCCTGAACCCTCTTTGTGACAGTGAATAAGTTACTCTATCTGGGGCTTTCCCTATACAGTCTGGAAATAAAGGACACTGTTGCCACCCTCTCTTCCTTGATGTAGGGAAAAGCACATGCACTACAGCTAGACAGAAATGGGCTCCAATCTCATTTCCAAATCCTAGCTACGCTTTTGACAAGCTGTGTGACCTTGGGTAAAAATCCAATCTCTCAGACTCCACTTCTCTATAAAGTGAGGATAACAACTGCAGAGTTGTTATAAGGAGTAAACGAGAATGTAACCTCAAGTGCCTTGACTAGTATCAGGGACATAATATGTGCCCTTCCCTTCTCCTCTGAATCAAAAGGCTGAGTTATCCCTTCATATTCGAGGGTGTTAGTCTTTGAAAGCAAAGGACCTTCAGGGGACTGCCTAATGATGTAAGTTCCAAAAATAACCTGAATGAAAACTGAGGGCACCTGAGGCCTTGGTGAGGCGAGAAGAGGTGAAAGTCATTGGGGAGATTTTATATTTTCAGAGAGTCTCAGATTGGGTAGTATTTCTCAGCTCAAAGTGGGCAACCCCTATATTCTCTAGGTTTGCACAAAGACAAGAAAAGAAACATTTAAATTTTTACATAAATCCAAAATTCCCAAAAGGCAAGTGAATTTTTGTTTTCAAAATATCCACAAAGGTATGTGGATACATGTTTAAAACACAAAATTACCCTGTATATTCTCCTTTCATGTTAAGTTTGTTGTTGTTATGTGCCGTCGAGTTGGCCCCGACTCATAGCGACCCCTCCTTGGGTTTCCGAGGCAGTATCACTACGGAAGTAGGATTGCCCAACCTTCCTTCCGAGGAGTGGCTGGTGGGTTTGAACCGCCAGCCATCTGGTTAGCAGGCAAGTATCTTAGCCACTATGCTACCAGAGCTCCTAGTTTAGTATAGCTAAATATGTATTCTGAACAGTCTTGCTTGATTTATATACCCCTTAGCTGATGGACCCCCATTAGACCAGAGATAAGGAACGGTATAGCGTGGGACGTCTTGAATGTGCACTATTCAGCAATATAGGTAAACACGGAGATAGGACAGTTATTACTGAAGCAGAGCCTCAGTACTTAACAGAGCAGAACACTCAGGGTGAAAGGATGAAGGTCCACTCTGGAGAACGCTCTGTTCTTCCAAACTGCCTGACAAGGGTCAAGCCAGGTCTCAAACTGAAACAGTGGCTTGAAAGGAACCTTGGAAGCCAACATTCCCAGTTCTTGAGTAGCGATTCTGAAGCACCTAAAGTTTCAGAATTATGAGTGCTTTTTAAAAATACAGATTCCCAGGTCCTTCCTCCAGAGAGTCTGGTGTAGTAGATTTGCATTTTAAACAGGCTTCACAAATGACTCATGTAGGTGGATTGAGAACCACACTTCGAGAAACACTGTCTTTCACACGTACTGCTTTGTATGAAATCATTAAAAGTTATGTTGAGGAACACTAACATAGGAATTCCTTATGTGTGAGTTCACTAATGGCAAAATCAGGCCACTCCACCCTTCTTAAGAAACACAAAATTTACATGTATGTAAGTGTTTGTATGAAAGAAAAAAGTTCTTCCTTGTACATTACATTCTCAACTATCTAAATGTGAGATTCAATCTAACTCTGAAAATAAGTAGGAAACCAAAACATTTTTGATCACACTATATATTACAAACTATGGCAAGGACATGGGCTGTCCTCCGTATTTGGAGATTTGGAGAACAAGGGAACTTACACAACGCTTATTTATTTATCTACCAAGAGTGCTGGAGTATTTCATCAAGACTCA